TGGAACTGGGGATTGAACTCAGGCCCTTGTGCTTGCAAGGCAAGCGCTCATTCTACTGAGCCATCTCCCTGGACCCTAGACTCAGCTTTTCAAGTTGCTAGGATTATAGGCCAGTACCATTATGACCAGCTAGCTGAGCTCTAGCTCTTCATAGGTATTCATATATTAAATCCATAGTACAACCTTATGAGTATGCTATTCCTATTTTACATATGAGAAGGCTGAGGCGGGGAGACATTAATAACCTGTTCCAAAGTCTCTTGTTAAGTGCTTAGAGCCTGGACTGAAACACAGATTTCTACTCCCAAATAACACTCTGAGCAACCAGTCTATATTGCTCATCTTTCCATGGGGTGGGGACCGCGAGAGTAAAGGGAAGGGCTGGATCCAAAGTCAGGAAGAGTTAGCAGGAGCCTCAGGGTGGGGTGGGGAGGTCAGCAGGGTTCTCACAGCAGCTGTGGCCTGGATCAGCGGTGTGGCATTGTCCTGACCCCCATTGACCCAGTTGACATCAGCTCCATGGGCAAGGGCATCGGCCATGGTGGGAAGGGATGGAGGATGCCCAGCAGCTCGAAACAGTAGGGCCCCAGGGTGCAGACTTCCAACATCATCAGAAGGGGGCTCTGTTAAGGGGATTTTGTACTATTAGGCAGAATCAGTGGAGAGTTTGGGAGGAAAACCCTCAGCACAGTCTCCTGATGCTGCAGTAAGCTAGGTCTAAACTGTGGGGAAACCTTCATGACTCAGGACCTTGGTGCAGGATGGAGTGGCATACATGTGAGTGTCTCTGTGCGGGGGCCTTGGGATATGGAGGACAGATGGTATTATTTACCCCATCCTGCCCAGATACTCTGGCTGGCTGGATGTCACAGGTGAGCTGACTCTGACAATCACGCCCTCCTTCCCAAGTCTTGAGTTCCTAAACTTCTTGCCTCTTCTCACCCATCCTTGTATATCCTACCCCACCTACTTCCTTGCCCCTGATCCTTCCAGTGCTTAGTGGGTTGCCCCAAAACTTAGTCTGGTCCCTCCAACATTCTCAAGGGGAAGGCCTGGGCCTCACAGTCTGCTTCTCTACAGGGCCTAACACAGTGCTGAGTGCACAGCAGACACTCACTGAAGATTCAAGCAACCCTATACCTGGCTTGGATCTGATGCTTCCTGGCCAGTGCTTGATGGGAGGTTTTGGGGGTACAGGGGGGTGTCCTCTTGGGGACCCCCTGACACCTCTTCGCCCTCGAATCTCAGGAAGCTTGGTCAGAAACTTCTTCTCCACATATTTGGCACGAATCCATGCCTCCTTTTCCTGCCTGGAGAGGGGACAAGGAGACATTGATCCCTTCGGCCATCTCAGGTCCTTCCTAGGAGAGCCCCAGATACCTCCACTCCAACCTCACCGGGAACAGCTGGGTCCTGGCTTCTTCACTGCCAAGGCCTCCACACGGGCCTCATAGATCTGGTTGATGATGACGTTTCCCAGTTCACACATAAGCTAAAAGAAGCCTCAGCAGAGGCAGAGAGAAAGAGAAGCAGGGGGAGCAGGGTGAATATCTGTGCCATGGACACCTCAGGCTTTTGACCTCACCCAAAGAATTCACAGTACTCCACGTTACCTTCACTAGTTCTGGCTCCCAAGAGTCAAGGGTCAGGGACCGGACTTTGGAGAAATGAACACCCAGGCTCCTGGAGGGCCAGAGTGGGAGTCAGGCCCTCCATGGGCAGTAGCCTAGGGAAGCTGCTACTGCTCCTGGAAAGACTGCAAGGCAAGGCCTGCATGGGGTGTGCATGGAGCCAGGCTAGAAGGCTGGCAGCTGGGCTATGTTGCTCAGACCTGGTTTTAGGAGGATCCTGCCCCTGCACCATTCCTTCTTCCCCATGTTTCCCTGTGAGACCCTCATCCTCTCCAGCTTTCTGCTTTCTCTCATGGCATACTGGCCTTGTCAGTTCTTTCCATGTCATCCTCCTTTCCTTCTGTACCAGTCTGACCAAACATAACAGGCTTGCTAAGACCTCACCACCTCCTCTCTGTCATGGTAGTTGGCTCCCCTACTCTCAACAGCATTTACCCATTCTCCCTCCAACCAAACCAATAACTTCCTTAGGAGTACCCCAGTCCTATACAGACCTGGACACCTGGCTGGGGCCCAGTGATTGAGCTAGAATTTTAAGAGAAGAAGCCAGGGCAGAGGAAAGGAGAGGGGCTTGTGTTATGGTCAGAAAGCTGAACGATAGACAGAAGCAGAGGTCATGCTTAGGGCCTTAGGGAATGACCTGTGAATGCCGGAGCACTCGATGCAGAGTGTGACACCAAGGTTGATGCTGGCCCACTCTGGGGCTGGCTCCCGGCAGTCACAGCACTGGGCATTGCCATCCACACTCTGTACCTGCGCTGCCACATGCCCAACTCCCCCAGGCTCTCTTCCCCTGGCTGTCCCACCACAGCCCAGGGTAGCAGCAGAACCAAGGGTCAGCTGTCCTGAGCCCTGGGGGAGACAGGGGAAGAAAGGATGACTGGGGGCTTTGAATAAGGTCAGCCCCATCTCCTAGGGCAGCCTGGTCCTGCAGCCCCACGTTGAGGTACCTGGCCTGGACCCCTGGGACTCTCATCAAGGGGAGCCTGGCTGAAGGCTGAGGCAATGCTGCTCTGCACAGCACTGATCCACAGCTGCAGGAGGCGCTCAGAGTCAGCCTGGAGGAGACAGGACCTGAATGGGGGTGAGGGGACAGGGGAGGGGTCTGAGGCCTGTTGTTCCAAGCAGCAAGGTGGACAGACTGACATTTAGCTGGCATTCAACAGGTTCCAGTTGTACTGAAATAGAGCTTGTCCTCGACTTATGATGGTTTGACTTAACATCTTTTGACTTTATGATGTAGAACCCATACAACCATTCTGATTTTTCATTTTCAGTAAAGTGTTCAATAAAACATGAACTATTTAATACTTTGTTGTAAAATATCTTTGTGTTAGATTCTATAGCCTAAAGTAAGTGTTCTGAGTACATTTAAAGTAGGTTAGGGTTGGGTATGGTGGTGCATGCCATTAATCCCAGCATTCCAGAGGCTGAGGAAGGAGGCTCAGTGTGATTTCCAGGCCAGCCTGCATTACATAGTAAACCTTGTCTCAAAAAAAAAAAAGTTTTTTCAATAGTATATTTTCAGTCTACAACGGTTTTATCGGGATGTAAACCCATAACAGGTAGGGGAGCACCTGTAGTTCTGACATAGTTGGTAATATCCTTTTTTTTTTTTTTTTTTTTTTTTTTTTTGTATTGGAGATTGAACTCACAACCTTGTGCTTGTTAAGCAGGCACTTAATCCACTGAGCTATCTCCCTGGCCCTTGGTAATACTCTTCTAAACAGCCTCCTCCCCCAATCTTCTTCTCCCATGTAGCTTTCCAGCCTATAATCCAGCCACCAAAAGGTTAAGGCCTGGCGTTGCAAGGGGAGCCTGTGTGGTGGTGGTCTTATCTTATTGGTTGCTAAGTATGTAAATATAGTATCGCCCCTGGTATCTGTACTCACTTGCTGGTGGATACCACCTCAAAGCAGAACCGCCTTTCTGAGTCAGGACAGAGCTTCACTGTGCAGAGGCGAAGGTCATCCACCACCACAGTCACAGAGTCCTAGAAGGAGATGGCCATAAGAGGCCTGATGCTTAGCCATAGACAAAGGCTCAGTTTGTCTGGGGCCCAGGCATCCAAGAACTGGTCCTACCCACCTTGTACTTCTTCTGGTAAACCAGTTGGTTGCTTTGAATGGTGAACCAGCGTCTGGAAGAAGCGGAACTAGTTACGAACATGGACTGCATTGGGATGAGGCTTTAGATGGGACACAAGAAAGGGTGAGCCCTGTGCCCCATAAGGCTGAGATGAAAGAGCACTGGGCTGACTGTTCTGTGAGACATCTCAGAGAAGGGAAGATAGCTGGGACATACAAAGATGGTTCACACTTTGAACAATTCAGATTTAATATATTTATGAAGATAACTTTCTAGTAGGTGGCAATGCTTTTTCTGTATTTAAGGGAAGGGTCTACAGGGTATTCAGGGTCTCACTACTAGATTAGACTCGTAGTGATCTGCCTGTTTACAGCCTCCCAAGAGCTGGGATTACAGGTATGCCACCATGCCCAGTCTCAATTGCTGTCTCAGAGCGCCCCAGGGGTGGGGCTGGTACAGCAGCCAGGGAGATCAAACCCCTGGTCCCTGCACCTGCTTGCAGGATATTTAATCCACTGAGCTATTTGGCAGGCCCTGCTTTTTCTTTTTTTAAAAAAATAAACTGTAGGCTGGGGAGATAGCTCAGTAGAATAAGCACTTCCCTGGCAAGTACAAGGTCCTGAGTTCAATCCCCAGTTCTGCAAAAAACAAAAACAAACAAACAAAAAAAAACCCGTAGCTGAGTGAGGTGGCTCAGGCAATCCCAGCACTTGGGAGGCTGAGCCAGGAGGATCATTTCCAGTTCAAGACCAGCCTGGGCTACAAAGTGAGCTCAAGGTCACCTGAACTGCATAGTGAGACCCTGTCTCAAAAAATAAAATAAAGGGGCTGGTGAGATGGCTCAGTGGTCTAAAGCACCTACTTAGAACAAGCTTAGCAAAGCACAGGGACCATGGTTCAATCCCCCAGCACCACATGCCAGCCAGCCCCACCCCCTGGTGGGCTGAGCTGGACACACACACACACACACACACACACACAAATAAATAAAATTAAAAAAAATAAATAAAATAAAATAAAATAAGCTGGGCATGGTGGCACACACCTGTAATCTCAGCACTTGGGAAGCTGTGGCAGGGAGAGTGCCACAAGTGTAAGTCAGCTCGATCTACACAGTAAGTTCAAGGCTGATTTGGATTTGTTTTTGTTTTGTCTTTCTGAGACAGGGTCTCACTATGCAGTTCAGGCAGACCTTGAGCTCACCCTGTAGCTCAGGCTGGTCTCAAACTCACAATGATCCTTCCGTCTCTACTTTCTGAGTACTAGGATGACAGGTATGTGCCACCATGCTCAGCTCTGATTTGGATTTGAATCAGTTCTATAACTACAATTTTTCACAAGTGCAGGTGTCTCAGGAAAGGGACTCTGGCTTCTCCTTTGCACAAGGCCTTACATGGGGTGGAGGTAGCTCTGGAAGGGAAGAAGTAAGGTCATGGCATGTTGCCATCCTGTTCCAAATGCTATAGGGGCTTTCCATTTTCTCCATAGTACACCCCAAGATCCCACAAAAGCCTAAAAAGTCCACACGCCCCTAGAATGTTTAATACTTCCATTAGCTCTTATTTCCTCTTTCTTTGCTCTGAATCATCCAGGCCCAAGGCTTCTCACTGTTTTCCAAATATCCCAGGGATCTCAGAGCCTTAGCCCTGACTCTTCATTCTGCCTAGAATATTCTTTCTCAGACAGCCTTGAAATTTGGACTCAAAAGTAACCTTTTCATGAAGCCTCCTTCGACTCAAGGTTTCAAACTGCAGACCCCATGCCAGGCCTGGCTGCACAGACCTGCTACAATCTTAGCACTTTAGCAGGCTGAGGTAGGAAGATCACAAATTCAAGCCCAGCCCAGGGAACTTAAGTGAGAAATCCTTCCTTCCTTCCTTCCTTCCTTCCTTCCTTCCTTCCTTCCTTCCTTCCTTCCTTCCTTTCTCCTTCCTTCCTTCCTTCCTCCTTCCTTCCTTCCTCCCTCCCTCCCTCCTTTTTTTCTTTTCTTTCATTTTTTTTATGTCCAGCTCAGCCCACTCTGGAGGCAGGGCTGGCGCAGCATGTGGTGTCAGAGATCAAACTATGGTCCTTGTGTTTTTGCTTAAGCTTGTGTCAGCAGGCGCTTTAGATCACTGAGCTATCTCACCAGCACTTGTATCAATATAAAAAAATTTAAAAAGGACTGATGATGCAGCTCCATGGTGGAGTACGTGTGTAACATGCCTGGGTTTACTCTGCAGTACCAAAAAGAAAAAGAAAAAAGGGACCAGGGAGATGGATCAGTAGAATAAGCGCTTGCCTGGCAAGTGTAAGGGTCTGAGTTCAATCCCTGGTTCCACCAAAAAGAAAAAGAAAAAAGACCTGCAATCACCACTCACCACAACCCTTTTTTCTTTTTTTTTTTCTTTTTTTCCTATGGCCCTATTATTTTCCTTTCTTTTTTTTTTTTTTTTTTTGCCCTATTATTTTCTAATGTAATACAACAACATACTTTTTTTTATGGTTGTGGTGGGGAGACAGAGTCTCACTATATATTTTGGGCTTTCAGGCTGGCCTTGAACTTCCTATGTAACCCAGGCTGGTCTCAAACTCATGGCACTATTCCTGCCCAGCCTCCCAAGTGCTGTGATTACAGGTGTGCACCACCATACCTAACAACCTTCTCAGTTCTTATGCTATTGTCTGTTTTTGCTGATTGAATGTTTGCTCTACAAAGCAGAGGGTTTTGTCTATTTTTCCTTGCTGTTCCTTAGTCCACTATAACCACTAAAAAAAAAAAAATCCAGTTGGTTGAGTTTAGCTCACCTGCTCCAAGTCTTAAATGCGTTGCTGGCTCGTTTAAAAAGATGTCCTTCCATGACTAGGCCATTTGGTCCTTCCTTTAGGCTTGGCTCTGGCTCTTCTCCACCTAGCTCCTGGGGGCACAAAAAGGTCAAAGGGCAACCGAGATGAGCAGAGACCAAGACTTGTCGGGTTCCTGCCCCTTGCAGGCTTGTCGGGTTCCTGCCCCTACTCCCAACCTTCACCTTCTGTTTCAGCAGCACATGTCTCTGCTCCATGTCCCTCTTCTCTCGTGCTGAATTCAAGACCAGCTGGTGCAACTGGCATAGGAGGGGCATGTCAGGTGTCTAAAGCTTCCCCACCCAGACCAGGAAAGTCATCTCAGAGCCCCCTAAGTTCCCTCTACCACCTTTGTGCTCCTTCGGGGACTACCTGGGCACCGAGCTCTTTACGATACTGGGCCAGGCGGCTCAGCTCCTCATGGCCCTGCTGGAAATAGACAGCCTGGGCCTCCACCAAACGCAGCACCTGGGGAGCAAGGTTGGCAGGTGGCAGAGCTGAGGAAAGACCCCTCCTTCCCTCTTCCCTCCTGCTTTCTACAGCAGGGTACTCTCCACTTTACCCTTGCCATCACCCCAACTCACAAATTCCATGATGTCAAACTTCCTCTTGTCCTCTATCACATTGATCTGAAGACCCAAGAAGACCTCAGATCAGTCTTGAAATCATAGTGCCTCCCTCCCACTGAATACCACAGACTTTCCAGCTTCAAGGTGACACCTGAGCCCCTAGTACACCCAGAAGAGAGGCTGAAGCAGGCACCTGCAGGGCATAATCCAATGCCCGTCCTCGGTACCCAGCTCGAGCAGTCCTCAGAGCAGCTCCAGCCTCCTCTGCCTCTTGGGTGCGACGCCTAGGGACTTCTGCATTGTGGATAAGGGCAGCCTCCAGGTTCTCAGCCCCACGCCAGAAATCCCGACGAGCTTCTCGGAAACCTCGGAGACCTCTGGGAGTGGGGAGATAAAACAGAATCACAAATACATCCACTGGGCTGAGAGGAGATTTCCCAGGATAAGGCCCACCCATAGCCTTTCAGTAAGCCTAAGAACAGGGGGAAGCCCAAGAGGATCCTGGGGGTGGAAGGATAGAAGTCAGACCATCAAACCCCCCAGCATCACAACTCCTTCAATCAGGGAGACCCCTGACATAACAGAAAGAGGGATGGAGGGCTGGTTTCTGGGAAGTAAGGCTCTCTTCCCTCCCATCTCACTCCTTGACCAGCGTCTGGATTTGCTGCTGCAGTGTGTGCTGTGTGGCATCAAGAAGCTCCTAAGGGAAGTAGAAGTGGCAAGTGGGGGGTCAGGAGAATAGAAAATCCTGCCCTCTCTCCTACCCTTGGTTCACCTTTCCTTGCTTACCAAGTGGCTGTCCAACTTGTGGTTCAAGCTTACAGTAAATTTGTCCAGACATTCCTAGGAAAGAGAAGGCAGAGAGAGAGAATAATACCAAGTGTGGGGTGACAGGGTACTCCCAACTCTAGACCCCACCTGGAGGCATCCTGGATGGCAGCTCCAGCCCCACTTCTCTTCCACAGCCCAGCATGCCCTAGTCCAGCCCCTCCACATACCGCCATCATGGGCTCTGGTGGACCCAGGCGAGCCAGATCGTAAATGCCAGCAACGAATGCGCGGCTGGCAGTAAGGTAATGGCGTCCACTTTCCAGAAGGCCAGTTCCCAGCTTGAGGAGCTGGGAAAAAATGAGGGCCATCATTAGTCACCATACCAGGTGACCCCTCCACCCCAATGCACTTTTTCCTCCCTTGCCCAGGGCTTCATTCCCCCTTTCCAACCTTGTCTACGTTGCCCCCAGCCCAGTCCAGCTCTGTCTCATCCCTAACATGCATACGCTGTGTTCTTTTCTTTGCTTCTTTGCTCCCACTGACCTGAGCCTATTACAAAATCCCTATTTTTCCCAGCCTATGGCCAGTCACTGCCAGATTTACCATCAAAATGTCTTTCTCTGTCCACTCCCACTTGTCCCTCCCTGCCCTGCCTTCCTGCTTGGATGAAGGGTTTCCCATAAACTCCAACCTCCTGCACTGTATGGCTCACAAGATGAATTCTCTGCATGGCTGGATTCAGTTCTACAGTCTTTCTAATCTGGAGCCATCCATTTTTGTGCTCACCAAACATTCTCTAGTAAACACTGACTGATCATGTAGCCTGTAGGAGCAGCGCCAAGTAGAATGCTGGGATGATCTAGAGCCCATCCTATCCTATCAGCCATGGAGCAGTAGAGAGTTGCTAAACTAGGAGGCGAGTGGCTGGCTCGAAGAGGGTTCTGGGAGATCTAGGAGACTGAGCCAGAATCTAAAATCAACATTCTGGTTGGGTATGTAGCTCAGGGGCACAGTACCTGCCTGGTAAACACAAGGTCCTAAGTTGGATTCCCGATACCACACACACAGAATAATAATATAAAATAAAAATGAAATATAAAATACAATCAGTCTTCTGCTGGGCATGGTGGTATGTGCCTGTGAACCCAGCACTCAGGAGGCTAAGGCAGAACTGCTGTGAGGTAGAGTCCAGCATGCACTACATAGCAAGACACTGTCTCAGATACACACACACAGTCAATTTCCTGATCTCTAGGCCTTTATCTGTAGCGCTATGACTACTCTGTCCTAGAGCAGTTGCCTGAGACACCTATCTGGGCTGGAGCAGGTGTCTGACAAGTACATCAGCCCAGCTGGGGTGGCAGGAGACCACCAAGGAGGGTTTCTGAAGAAGTGCTGGGTACCAGGAGTTCGGGGGCCATAGGTGTTCATTCTACTTTTGTTAAAAATGAAAAAAATCTTCCCAGAACTTGTGAAGACTGTAGGGCACTATAGTTCGACAGGCAAGTGACTAGCAAGATCAGTGATGCTCAGGAAACAAGATCAAACCTTATCTGTCTGTGACAAGAGATAAAGCTCCTCACAGCTCACTGTGCAGACCCAGGGGACAAAGTGTCTAGTTCTTCCTGTTTACCAGCCTTCCCCAGCATGAGTAAGGACCTTTCATGCCTGATCCAGTAACAAACTGATATATTCATACAATACAGAAGTACTCAGCAAAAAGGAGAAGCTATTAATATGTGTAATACCTTGGATAAACTTTAAGGGCATTATTGTTAATTTAAAAAAAATTAAAAGGTCACATAATAATATGGTTCTATTTATGTAACACTCTGCTTTTTTGGGGGGAGGTATAGTGCTGCTGATAGCCACATTCCAGACTGACCATTTTTATTTTGAGAGCATATCATAAATTACCCAGGCAGCCCTTGAACTTATGATCATCCTGTTTCAGCCTCCTGAGTACCTGGGATTACAGGTATATGCTGCTGTACTTTTCTTTCTTTCTTTCCTTTTCTTTTGAGACAAGGTCTCACTATGCTGTCTAGGCTAGATTTGAATTCCTGGGCTCAAGCAATCCTCCTGCCTCAGTTTCCTGAATAGATGGGACAACAGGCACATGACACTGTACATGGTTTGTAGGGAACAGTCTAGAAATAACAAAAATAGAGAAATGGAGAATAAAGCAATGGCTTCCATAGGTTAGAGAAGGGAACAAAGAGAGTTATCACTATAAAGGAATGGCACATAGGTGGCAAAAGAAGTTTTATTTGTTTGTTTTGTTTTGACAGGGTTTCCCTATGTAGTGAAGCCTGGCCTGGAATTCAAAGAGCCCAGGCTGGGCTCTAACTCGCAATGATCCCCCTGCTTCAGCCTCCCAAGTTCTGGGATCACAGGCATGTGCCACCAAGCCTGGTGGCAAGAGAGTTTTATACCTTAATGTGGAGATGGTTATATATGGGATCAAATGCCATAGAATTATACACAAACATGCCCCCCTAAAAATGTACATGCAAACATAAAATCTGAGTAAGACCTATAGACTTTATTTTTTATTTAAAAAAAATTTTTTTGGTGGAACCAGGGATTGAACTCAGGCCCGTGTGCTTGCCAGCCAAGCACTTATTCTACTGAGCCATCTCCCCGGCCCTATAGACTTTATTAATTGTACTATGCCAAGATTATTTTTAAATTTTGATAATGTAGTGGAGTTATGTCAGATGTCACTACTAGGGGAACCTGGGAAATGGGTACCAGGGCCCTCTCCTTCCTATTCTGTGAACCTATAATTAAGTCAAAATACAAAGATGTGGTAGTCCATACCTATAATCCCAGCAACTGGGAAGCTGAGGCAAGAGTATTGTCAAGAGTTCAAGCCAGCCTGGACTATATACTGAGTTCAAGGTTAGCCTGAACTATATATCATGGCCCTGTCTCAAAAGAAATTAATTAAAATATAAATGATTGGTTAGGGGTGTAGGTCAGTGCTAAACTCTTACTTAGCATGTGTAAAGCCCTGGGTTAAAGCCTCTGCATTATCAAAACTGTCCAATTAATCAGCTGTGAAACTGTCTCATTTATATTTATTTCTCAATAAAAAAAAAAGCACCTGCAACACAAATAAACAATATAAATAGTAACTGTAACGGCAGGTACCTGTACACATGTGCCATCTACTGGGGAGGCTAAGAAAGATGATTGCTTGAGCTCAGGAACTGAGCAAAACAGCAAAATCTTGTGTTAAAGAAAAGAGAGGGGACCGGGGAGATGGCTCAGTAGAGTAAGCACTTCCCTGGCAAGTGCAAGGGCCTGAGTTCAATTACCAGTTACGACAAAAAAAAAAAAAAAAAGAAAGAAAAAAGAAAACTCAGAGGACAAAGGAGAGAGAAGGGATAAAGGAAGGAAAGAAAGAGAACATAAATTACTTGGTCACCTACTAGCTTTCAGGTGAGGGGTAGTGCAAAAATAAAACATATGTCCTCTCATGGAACTTCCATTCTACTGACCAGACATAAGCAAGGATGACAGGCACACCCCAGGGTGCCTCCCAAGTTTTTGTGCATCTTTGTATAATCCCCACCCTTGAGTGTGAGCAAGGCCATGACATGACTTGCTTCAAATAAAATATGGAAGCGGGGTGTGATGGCATATGCCTATAATCCCAGCACTTGGGAGGCTGAGACAGAAGGATCATTGAAAGTTGAGACCAGCCTAGGCTACCACGTGAGCCCAAGGCTAGCCTAAACTGCATAGTGAGACCTTGTCTCAAAAAGACAAAACAAAACAAAACAAAACAATAAGGGAAAGGGAATGTGATGGCCCTCCCAACTGTGACTCAAAAGAGGTAACTGATGGGCTAAAGAGATAGCTCAGTGGCATAAAAATAAACAGCAGTAACTGGCATTCCTATGATTATTCGATGACATACATGGTTACATACACACTAGCACATTCAAGACTTTCCTCTTGGCCTTGAAAGAAGGCCAGAAGCAGCAGTAAGCTGCTATCATGCTCTATGCTAATGGAGAGGGCTACGTGGTGGGGAACCTTGTGGCCCCTAGAAGATGAGGGCCTCAGTTCTACAACAGCAAGGAGCTGAATAAACAATCACATGAGCTCAGGTGAAAATTCCAAGCCACAGATGAGACTGCAACCTCAGCCAAGACCTTGACTCCAGTCTAGGAGATCCGAGTGGAGGAGCAGCTAAGCTCTTGGTTGGAACCCTGACTCACAGCTGTAACAAAGGCATGTTTTTTTCAAGCCACCAAGTTTGTGATGATCTGTTGAACAGTAATATAAAACTAACAGAGAAAGCTTAGCATGGTGGCATACACCTCTAATTCCAGCACTCTGGGAGGCTGAGTCAAGAAGATTGCAAGTTTATTTTATTTATTTATTTATTTTTTGTTTTTATTTTTATTATTTGTGGTACTGGGGATTGAACTCAGGACCTTTTGCTTGCCAGGCAAGTGCCTATTCTACTGAGCTAACTCCCCAGTCCAGGTTGCAAGTTTAGAGCCCAGTTTGGGCAACTGAAATTTAGTGAGACTTTCTCTCAAAATAAAAAATAGGTCAGGGCCTGGGGATATAACTCAGCAACATAAACACCTGCCTGGCAAGCACAAAGTCCCAAGTTTGATACCCAGTACCCCCCAAAAAGAAGCCAGGCATAGTAGAGTATGCTTGTAATCCCAGCACTCTGGGAGGCTGAAGCAGGAGCACTGCTGCAAGGTCAAGCCTGAGCTACAAAGTGAGTTCAAGGCCAACCTGAAATACATAGTGAGACCGTCTCAATAAATAAACCAGACTGAAGATAGGGTTCAATGTGATAGTGATACCCAGTATGGGACAGAGAAAGAAAGAGAGGAAGGGGGGGGGAGAGAGAGAGAGAGAGAGAGAGAGAGAGAGAGAGAGAGAGAGAAGCAAGCCACGACATTTAGCAAGTAAATATGTCAGATAGAGATAGATGCTACAGGAAAAAATAAAAGCAGAGTAAGAGAGATGAGAGTGTGTGTGCATGCATGTGTACGCTATATGCAGTTTTATCAAGGGTGGTCAGGACAGACCTTAGCATCTTATGCTTAAATGTACCTCACTGGTTTCACTTCCACAGCCAGTGTGTGGACTCTGTGAAATGGTCCTGTTTGTTGTGAATGCCCAGGGCCAGGGACAATGCAAGGGCTCAGCACAGTAGTAAGTCCAAAAGTAAGTCTAGTTTTCCAAGATCCTAAGCTCCTTGAGGGCACAGAATCACCATTTGTGCTTCTCTGTAGGCCCCAAATAGTTATCCTATACAGTTAGCACTCGATAATCCTGGAAGTCATTCTCAGTCTCCAACTTTCTCCCTGGTATGACCCTTAGCTTCATCTGCTCCTGGCTCATCTCTCCATGTCAGGGTCACCTTTTCCAGACGAGTCTCCAATTCTGACACTTCAGCTTCCACCAACTCAACAGAGGCTCTGGGAAAGGAGGGAAAGGTCATGGGGAAAGAGCTTGGCTCCACCAAGCCTGCCTGCCTCATCAGGGTCAGGGGTTGGGGTTGCGGGACAATGGGTACACAGAAGACTGCCGGGACTCACTGTTCCTGCTCTCTCACTCTGCACAGTCTAAGGTACTTGCTACAGCCCAGGCCAGAGCAGGAAGAGGAGGAGGGTGGATGTGGTGAGAGCAGGAAGTTGCTAACCGCCCCAGAGCAGGTGCTGGGGGAGGGGCAGGGGTCCCAGGAAGGATGGGGGGGATTAGAGAGGCCAGACATTGGAGGGAGTACAGAGGAGAGGAGAGGAGAACCCAGGTTGACTGCAGAGATACCATTTTTGCCCCACCAGCTCCATCTTGTCCTTTGGCTGCCGATTCCCTGGAGGGAGGCTTAGCCGGGAAGAGCTGTGTCAATGCTATGCATCAAGAAATGTCTTATCTTCTCCTTCTTAGTACCCCCAGACTTGTGCACACTTACCGGAAGCGGGGTGAGTCCTTGAGACACTCTTCAAAATCCAATTTGATGGTCATTTTAGCTTGATTGCTGTGGGGCCAAGGGCCCTGGAGGTAGACAGGTGGAGATGCTGGTGGAGGCACTCCCGGCCCCAGAAGGTCCGTGGATGAGGAAGGAGAAAGTCTTTTGCTGGGTAGGACCTGTGGGGGTGGAATCCTTTCCCCAAGAAAAAGGGGTCTCCTGAGAGAAGTTCTTACCCCACAGTTCCAGGCAGTGCTGGGAGGGGTAGGGGTGGGGCCTGGGCTGCGGAGAAGGGCCTGAGATCAGAGAAGCCACAGCCCCGCCCCCTGAGAGTATCTGCTGTTACCTTCCTCCTGAGGTCCCTGGTCTGTCTCTGCTTCTTTGTCCTTCTGTAATTCAGTTTTGGGGACTCAGTGATCTAGGTTCAAATCCTAGCTCCGTCCCTTAGCAGTTCTGTGACCCTGAGCAAGTTCTCTGATTTCTGTTTCCTCACCTGGAAGGTGGAGATGCAAATCCCTGCCTGTGGGGTTGTTAAAAGAATGAGAGGCCTGGCCTGGTGGCACAGACCTGTAGTCCTACCACTGGTGAGGCAGAAGCAAGAGGATCCCAGTGAGTTCAAGGCCAGTCTGGACTACACAGCAAGACCCTGTCTCAAATAAATTAAAAAAAGAAAAAGAAAAGAAAATGCTCCTCATAAATTTATGACTAACTAAATTAATTATATCAGCCATTGTCATCCTGCTGCAGCTTGGATCTTCTCAAGACCCTAGGTTCTTGTTGAAACTAGTCCCTGGGCTGCTCCCAGCTTCTTTCTCTCTGGACTGCTTTCTGGGTTTCCTGTGCTTAAACATTCCTCCTACCCCTCCTATCCTTGACCCAGCAGGGCCAGCCTGGACAACCAATACCAATACGCAGCAACCAGATTCCTGCTCTTCTTATCTTTATTGTCCACCCCTAGGGTTTTAAGGGCAGGGGAAAGTTGCCTTTACCCCACCCCCAGCTGGTTATGTTTTCCTTTGTCTGGTTTCCTCTTCCTGAGTCCACTGGAGCTTCGAATTTCATCTAGAGAAGAGGTTGAGTTAGTGGATTTCTTGCATATGACCTCCAGACTCCCTAGAGCCTGCCTACTCAGCCCCTCTGCCTCCCTGGAGGCATGGCTTACCTCTGCCCAGGCTCACATCTGCGCCTGTTCCAGCTTGGTGGGTTCTGGATGTTCCCATGTTCCCTCTCTGAGTTCTCTGAGTTTTGGCGGCTCAGCTCCTTGCCTTCCAGCCACTGATACCAGCTGGATACCACCTGAGATTCACTGTCACTGGAGGACATGGTAGCATCTGGAGTTGGATGGAGAGGCAGAAAGGAATCAGGAAGAAGGCCCAGAGCCTTGGGTGATACCAAGCCAGAGGGCACCTCAACCCCTTCAGAGCCTCCCTGGTTGCTTTCCTGAATAATATGGGCCTTGAACTTGGGTTCAAAGCCAGTTTGGGCAACTGAAATGGGCAGCCCATTTAAGGCAGCCTCCCAGAGTGCTGGGATTACAAGCATGCTCTACTATGCCTGGCTTTTTTTTTGGGGGGGGGCAGTACCGGACCACTAAACAGACCACTTACTACCTGTTACTGCCGCACTGGCCTAAATGGATTGGGAGGCTGACAGATGGGAGCTTGCCCAAAGCCAGACCTACCGAGATGGTAAACTGACGCCTTAATCATTCTTTTTTTTAAAACTGGGAATTGAACTCAGGACCTTGTGTTTGTTGTGACACTGAGGTATATTCCCAGCTCCTTAACCAGTTATAATGGCGTCACAGTCACAGTCAGGGAGGCCTCAGTGGTCTTTTGATTCATATAGGGGCCTCCCATGTGGTCTAATAGATGAATCTCAGGGGTTATGGGATTTTCAATGACTTAGATCAAGCCTATGGAGCCTAGAAGTATAATAGGATGAAGGTTGTGACTCCCAGCCCACAGACCATCTGCCCTGGCTCTCACTGTTCTGCTGCTCATCTGCGTCTTCTTCAAGTTCTGGGCGGGAGCAAGACCTCAGGTATATTCCTTTGTTGTAATATTCCTTGCGTTGCTGATCAATCTCCTTCTCCAACAGGATGGGGGCTTTTCCAGGGTAGAACTGGTTTCTGCAGGTAGTGGAATCTAAGGAATGATCCAAAGCAATCCATCTGTAGCTACCTGGTTTACCCAGGACTTCAGATCTCTCTCTCTCTCTCTCTCTCTCTCTCTCTCTCTCTCTCTCTCTCTCTCTCACATCAGGATCTCGCTATGCAGTTTAGGCTAGCCTTGAGCTCACTTTTGTAGCCCAGGTTCTCGTCTTCAACTTAAAATCATCCACTTGCCTTGGGCTACAGGGGCTACTGGGATTGTAGGTGTATGCCACTATGTCCAGTTACTCTGTTTTTTTGAGACAGGTTCTCACTATGTACCCCAGGCTGGTCTCAAAGTCACAGTGATCCTTTTTTTTTTTTTTTTTAAAGTTTCCCGAGTCCGAGGATTCTAGGCGTGCACCACCATGGCCAACTTCATTTACTTCTCTTAACCATCCCTGCCCTGTTTTAGAAAACTTTCAAAAACCTCTCTATTCTTGCATTTTCTATTCCTCACTAACCAGTCTTCTCTGGGGACCCCACTCCAGCAGCCTCCTTTAACCCTAGAGTCACTTCCCAGCACTGCCTCCATGTCAGGCAGCTACAGGAAGATACGCACTGTAGAAGACAGACTATGATGGAGAAGTAAGGAACAGCAAGTTCAGATGGACTGTGGGCTCTGGAATAAGCTCTGGACTACAACTCCCTTTAAGTTCTGAGAGGACTCCCCTCCCCATTGCTACTAACCTTTGGCTTCTACGATGTCACTCACAGTTCCCTGAGCAGTCTCATCTTTGATAGCTCCAGCCAGTGCTCCTGGCCAGCCTCTCTCCGCAGATCTGGGCACCTGGTCCCTTATTACACCTTGACCACCACTGCTGATGCTGGCACTGTCCCAGGAACTGTCCTTGTCATTATACGAGGGCATATTTTTCTGAGCCCTGAGGAATTTTCCTTCATTGTAGTGTTTCTTGCGGTTCTTGTAAAAATCACTGGAGTCTGTAGGCCAGTGTGAGAGCTTGGTTTTCCCCACAAGAAACTTGGCAAAGGTTTATTTGCCTCCCCTTTTTATTCATGCCCGCCCTGCATCTCACATGTCTTGGAAAAGCTGTCTGCAGCTCTTGAGCTTTTGTTATCACTGTTCTGGAGGACCTTGGGGACGAAATTGTCCATTGTTGCAAACCTGAAGAGGAGGGAGACTAGTTGAAGGTATTGAAAGGAGAAAACAATAATGGGTGCAGATGGTAGATGGGGCCAACCTGGTTGACCCCAACAGATTGGTCTTGTAGGACTTGTAGGACCTCTTACTGTGGGTCCAAAAAGTAGAACTGCCTCAGACTAAAGTTCAGAGGTGAGAAGTAGTAAAGATCCCAAGCTCCAAAGGATCTGATAGGACTCTCACCTCTCTGCCAGCATTTCAGGGGTCACCTTGAGGGAGGACCCCACAGACAGGTCCTCATCACTGTCCTGTGGTCTGCAGAGGAGAAAACAGTGCTGGGAGGTGGGCATGAGGCTTCTCTGCCTCTTCTCCTGGGCCCTTGTTAGAAAAGAGAACAGCATCTAGGCTGAAAAGCTTGGCACCTGTGGTAGGGAGTGCTGGGTTCGTCCACCTTCATAAAACCATAGTCCTTATCAGCAGGATGGTGAGTGGCCAGGATATTCATCTCATCCCAGTGCTGAGACTTTTTCCTGGGGTGGGGCAAGGACACAGAGAAGGTGGGAAATACCTAACGATACCCTCTTCCTAGATTTCCCTCATTCAAAAATTTCGGTCATTTAGGAAGCTCTTCACTTTCTTCTAGAGGCTATTGATGAGGTCAGACCCAAAGGTAACCATATTACTGTGAGTACCTGTTGTTCTATTGAAGGGTTAGAACCTTATACTAGACATAATACTTTTTCCCCAATGGCCCCCACCAACTCTCATATCCAGTTCTCAGAGTGGGCCCCTTCCCCTCACGGCTCCGCCCCTCCTATATGCCTAACTCCTCCCTCCAATCTGCAAATAAAGCTGGGCCCCTTACTTCTCTGCACTGAGGGGTTTCTCCTGCAAGAAGCTGCAGTTCTGTTTCAAGATGCTCCGGGGCTGGTCCTCACAGGAACTGTAGGGGTGCAGGGAAGTTGACTCAGAGCCCTGAATGGGCCCTGAACTGTAAATCCTAGGATCCCGAGGCTCAGAGGTGGGCACTGCATTTAGACTGGTTCCAGGATGAGGGGTGTTGAATCCACTAGGGGATGTGCTGGATCCAAGGCTGTAGCCAGCAAACTCCCCAGGGTGCGGACTGAGCCTAGAACCTGGGGACACTCCCCTCTGGGAAGCCTGGCTGGAACCAGGACAATAAATTTTGGTACTCCTGGAGTGGGAGGGGGATCCTGAGCCGTGAAACAAGACTACTCCCCTCATTGTCCCTCTAGGGAAATCCCTCCGAGGGCCGCCAGCAGCTCCCGACCTCTCCTGCTTCTCCATGGCCCCACCCAGGGGCCACTCTCTACCACCCCGCCCCCCGCCTCCCAGCGCCACATAGCCCCGCCCCTGGACCCCGCCCCCACCGTAGAGGTCTGGGGCCGCCCGGACTCCAGCGGGTTCCCAGCCCTACTGCTCCCTGGAGCTGAGGTGGGTGTAATCAAATCTATATAGGGATATTAGTTTGTGAGCCCCTGCGACTCGCCCTTCCTTTTTTGTCGTTCCACCCTAAGACTGCCTTTCTTTGTCTTGGCGATTCGTTCCCGCCCTTCTCCATCATCACTATCATACAAATCAGCCAATCATAGCCAGAAGGCTTAGCCCGGAGCCGGAGGTGGGTGGAAAAGGCTTGATTGTGACGTCATATCACTCCGAGCACAGGAAACTTGGAATTAGCTCTGGGGGTTTCCTCTGTGAGTCATGAGTGCCGTTCTTTGAAACTGCCTTCCAAATTTTTGGACTTTATTTGTGGCTTTAAAAAAAAATTATTTTATTTATCTATTTGGTACAGGGTCTCGCTAGGCAGCTCAAACTCATAGTGATCCTTCTGTCTCAGCTTCCCCAGCGCTGGGATTAACAGGCGTGCACCTCCACGCCCAGTCTCAGGGCCACCTCGGCGTTCAAGGGCCAGCATGGCATATCCTATCGGGGATCCAACCCTGGTCCTTGCGCTTACCAGGTAGGCGCTTAGACCACTGAGCTATCTCCCCAGCCCTGTGGCTTTATTTTAAATCTTTTCCTTTTCCTTTTTTTTTTTAGCGAGGGTCTTGCTATGCAGTTGAGGCTGGCCTTTAACTGTGTAGTTCAGGCTGACATCGAACTCGGGCGATCTTGCTGTCTCAGCTTCCTAAATCAAGCCTAAAGAGTTTGATTGAATCAAGTGGGATTGACTTGAATCCCCAAACTTCCTCTGTCGCGTTGTGGGACAGAAGCTCATTTGTTTTTTATTTATCTATTTTTTTTGTGGAACCGGGGATTGAACTCAGGCCCTTGCGCTTGCCAGGGAAGCGCTTATTCCACTGAGCCATCTCCCGGGTCAGAAGCTCATTTACAAAGCTGTCTTCTCTACACCTTCTAGATCCCCCACTTACTACCGTTCTAAAGCGTGTGGCACGAAGACGCCCTGCTGTTGTCGTAAAGTGAATACTTTTTAAGGTGTCGCTTCCCCTGTTGGCGGCGGGATTGCAGGTGTCTCTGTCGCAAAGCAAGTACGGGCGCCTGCACCAGTCCGTCGTAAAGATGCCTGCGGCAGGAGTTCCTTCCTCTGTCGCAAAAGCTCCCTGCTCTACTCTTCCCTCTCGGAACCACGCCCCCATCTGGTCTTGCCGTAAAGCTAGCCTTCCCGACCCCGTCGTCCTTCTGTTCCCACCGTGGTAGTCTTTAGTTCCCTAGCCCGGGATGCTTCATTGCCTGGCACTGCCGTAAAGCATATCTGGCCTCAGCCCCCGGTCGTATTCCCTCAGGGTGTCTGTCCTCCGCGGTTGCCACGGTGCCGCCAAGCGCGGCTGTCGCGCGGCCCCGGTGTCAGTGGCGATGGCGGCGGGGTCGGGTGGGAGTGGGGGGTCTGGGGGAGGCCCCGGGCCAGGGCCAGGCGGGGGTGGGGGCCCTGGCGGCAGCGGCCCAGGCCCGGGGTCCAACGGGGGTCTCGGCAGCGTTGGGGAGCTGCACCCGCGCACTGGGCGTTTGGTGAGCCTGTCGGCCTGTGGGCGTACAGCACGGCGGCAGCAGCCGGGCCAGGAGTTTAACCATGGGCTGGTGTTGAGCCGGGAACCCTTGCGCGATGGACGCGTCTTCACTGTCCGCATTGATCGCAAGGTGCAGAGCTGGGCCGGCGGAACTGAAATGTGGAGGGTAGTGGGAGGGAACCAGAGGGAAATGTGGTAGGGCCTCAAGATAGCTCACATCACCGGGTTCTGAAAGGGAACCGACAGACTGTAGGGCGCGAAGGCCTGGGCAAAAAGAAAATGATTCAGAAACATTCAATCCGGAGAAGTCAGAGAGAGCCTGAGTGTACTAAAGACTCTGAAGCAAGAAAAGGACATGGGGGCCCACCCATCAGAACAGCTGCGGGATGGGCCCCCTGACACAATTTTGAGGGGATGGAGGTGATGTCAGATGTGTTAAGAAATGGGGAGAGATATCGAGGAAGGGACAAAGCTTTGAAGGACATACTTTGAGGAAGAGCCAAAATGATGGATGAGCTGAAATACTCAGGGAAAGAGGTGTGTGTATGACTTGGCTCACAGGGAAGGAATTTGGGAGGAAAGTCAATTTGGGTGGAGTCTGAATCTAGGAGAGAGTTGGGCTGGGGAAGAGAGTGACAAACTAGAGAAGGCAATGTGGACATAGTGTGTGCATTGAGGTGTTTGAAGAACCACAGAAAATATGGAAGATTGGAAGGGATAGGAAGCTGGAACTAGGGAGTTTAACCTGCTTGGTGGAAAAAAGAGTAGTGTGGTAACTACTGTGCACCAAAATACAGTGCAGAGTTGCTAGGGGACAGTGGGCCCAAATAATTGCTGAGGTGGGGTCTAGAAAATGACTTTTGGGTCTGTATTTGTAGGTAGTGCCTAAGGTGGTGAGAGGTGATACAGTGGTGTGTTGAATGTTTCCTAGTGTTAGGAGACCCCAGTGATGACCCACCCTGAAATTTGTCCACCACCCCCAACACAGGTCAACTCTTGGAGTGGTTCCATTGAGATTGGGGTGACTGCGTTGGATCCCAGTGTGCTGGACTTCCCAAGCAGTGCCACAGGGTTAAAGGGGGGCTCATGGGTAGTGTCGGGCTGCTCGGTGCTGAAGGATGGACGTTCTGTGCTTGAGGAGTATGGACAGGACCTGGACCAGCTTGGCGAAGGGGACCGAGTGGGTGTGGAGAGAACAGCTGCTGGGGAGCTGCGGCTATGGGTGAATGGACGTGATTGTGGTGTGGCTGCCACAGGCCTGCCTGCTCGTGTCTGGGCTGTCGTGGACCTCTATGGCAAGTGCACCCAGATCACTGTGCTCCCCCCAGAGCCGGGCTTCAGTCCTCCTCCCATCCCGTCAACTCCCCTTGAGCCCTCAGCACCCCCTGAAGATTCTGCCTTGGCCGAACAGGGTACCTCTGGAGATGAAGGTGAGAGCACAGCTAGGGCCTTGGTGGAGGGATGGGGCAGGGAGGGCAGCTGTAGAAATGGCAAAAGTGAAGATCCAGGTTGGGCAGGTAGGGCGATTCAGACCCCTGAGCCTGTTGCCAGGGAAAACGGGCTAAAGAAAAATGTCTCCTGGCTATGGCTGAAGCAGGGTGGAATCTTTATTCCTCTCCTGCCCTACTGGGACTCAGCCTTCATAGTGTCCCTAGTGCAGGTCCAGCCAGAGGCATTTCCTAAGCCTTGAATCACATAGGGGTGAGGTTTTGGGAGATGCTCTGGGAAGGGGCTTGGGCAGTTAAGTGGGCTAGGGAGGGACCCCAAGAGAGGGGTAGGAAGAGAGGGTACCTAACCAGATAGAGCCTTACCTTGGTTTTCTTTCTTTGTTCTACTGTAGACTTTGCCAGCATGGAGCTCTCTGAGGTGGTGAGCAATGCCATCCTGTCTGCTTACAATGGGGGGCTCTTGAATGTGAACCTGAGCTCACCACCAGCAGGAGATGGGCTGGGATCTAGCGGTACTGCCACTTCGCCCATCCTTACTTCCAATGATGCCCTGCTCTTTCATGAGAAGTGTGGGACTCTTATCAAACTTAGCAACAATAATAAGACAGCTGAGCGCCGGAGGCCTCTCGATGAATTCAATAATGGAGTTGTCATGACCAACCGCCCGCTTCGGGACAATGAGATGTTTGAGGTATGCAAGACCCTGAGGTCTGATTGGCTACCCCTCTGGAAGCTAAAGATGAGGCTCAATCTTTGATGGATGATAGGAGGCTGGGGCCAGGGGAAGAAAGGCTGAACGAGGGTCCCTTCTCTGCACTTAAGTTCCTGTTCCTTTACTTGCTGTCATTCAACCCCAGATCCGCATTGACAAGCTCGTAGATAAGTGGTCAGGCTCCATCGAGATTGGTGTCACTACCCACAACCCTAACAACCTGGAGTATCCAGCCACCATGACCAACCTCCAGTCAGGTACCAGCCCCAGGCAGGGGTCAGGACACAAGCCTGAGGTTGCTGAAGGGAAGGAGGACCACATCCTAAGCAGGTGTCTACCTTTGTCCAGGCACCATCATGATGAGTGGCTGTGGGATCCTGACCAACGGCAAGGGGACCCGCCGGGAATATTGTGAATTCAGTCTGGATGAGCTACAGGTGGGGCAGTTCCAGGGGAGCGCTGGGTACCCTGTCTCTGCCTGGGTGCTATGCAGTGGTCTTTTGATCTAACTCAAGGTCTTTTGTCTTTGCATGAGGTTCTTTCTGAGAAGGCATAGTTCCTGAACAGGCCCAACAATAAGCCTATTAGTAGTACTTTTATTTTTTTCCTTCTAGTGCTTAGGTTTCAACCTATGGCTTCATACATGCTACGAAATCTCTATAGCAATTACATAGATGTAAGGAAATTGATGCTTATATGATGATGTAACTTATTCACTAACTTACATTGAGCATTTAGGATATGTGAGAATTCTTCTAACTAGAAAACCGGGACTGGGAACATGCCCTGCCCATCATTTGGGCTGGTCTTAGACTTGCATGCATACCTTTGGGAGCAGGTCCTCTGGGGAATAGGATAGTGGGAAGGCCTTGGGGCTGCTCTGGAGCCTGACTATGGCTAGATTCTGTACTGAACTACTTTTCTGCTGTCACTAGGAAGGTGACCATATTGGTCTCACAAGGAAGTCCAACTCTGCCCTCCACTTTTTCATTAATGGCATTGATCAAGGTAAGGGAACATTTAGAGAAGGCTATTGGCCCGGGACTCTCAGTTGGATCTGGACTTTATCTTCCATCCTCTCTGTTGCTTGCTTTCGTTTTTGACTGCACACCCCATTTTCCTCTCTCACAGGTGTGGCTACTCCATTGACACCTCCAGTGGTATATGGTGTAGTGGACTTGTA